TTATTTATTTATTTATTTATACTAATGTCATTTTCCGTCATCCACAAGTAACCCATATTATTAGTAATGTGATATTGATGATAGTGATAAGAAGAAGGTACAACATTATTCACCAATCTGTTCACGCTCAGATCCAGAGCGGAGTGATGAGAGAGAACATGGCGGTCACGTCCAAAGTCCCCGGTGTTCATAGTAACACTGACAGCTGTTGATTTAACACCTGCAGCATATATGTTAACACCAGTACAACATGTGACTGTTGAGGACACAAATGCATTTAGAATAATTCATAATAAAATAAAGAAATATTTATATAATAAAATACACGATGCATTAAGAAGTACCGTTTATTTAATGTGTTGTTGCTTTGCATGTCTGCCCCTGGACTTTGTGGTATGTAGAATGTATGATGTTCATGTATGATATTGAATAGATGAATAAATAAAACAGTTACATTTACCTGGTAGAGAACTGCGACTATCCGCTGCAGGCTTTTAACACAAACCAGAGAAAGAGAGCGCATGACTCCTGTTCAGCTGCATTGCATTGGCTCCCAGTGTCTTTAAGGATTAATCCTTAAATGATTTGACTGATTTATAAAGCTCTTAATGGTTTAGCACCAACATACAGTGCATCCGGAAAGTATTCATACCCCTTCACTTTTTCCACATTTTTGTATGTTACAGCCTTATTTCAAAATGGATTAAATTCATTTGTTTTCTCAACATTCTACACACAATACCTCATAATGACAAAGTGAAAACAGTTTTAAAATAATTGTTGCAAATGAATAAAAAATAAAACACTAAAATATCACATAAACATAAGTATTCACACCCTTTACTCAATACTTTGTTGAAGCACCTTTGGCAGCAATTACAGCCTCAAGTCTTCTTGAGCATGATGCCACACGATCGGCACACCTATCTTTGGGCAGTTTCTCCCATTCTTCTTTGCGGATTGTCTCAAGCTCCCTCAGCTTGGATGGGGAGCGTCGGTGCACAGCCATTTTCAGATCTCTCCAGAGATATTCAATCCAGTTCCAGTCTGGGCTCTGGCTGAGGCACTCAAGGACATTCACAGACTTGTCCTGAAGCCACTCCTTTGTTATCGTGGCTGTGTGCTTAGGGTCCTGTTGAAAGGTGAACCTTCGCCCCAGTCTGAGGTCCAGAGCGCTCTTGAGCAGGTTTTCATCAAGGATCTTCCTGTACATTGCTGCATTTATCTTTCCCTTGATCCTGACTAGTCTCCCAGTTCCTGCCGCTGAAAAACATCCCCACAGCATGATGCTGCACCACCATGCTTCACTGTAGGGATGGTGTTGGCCAGGTGATGAGCGGTGCCTAGTTTCCTCCAGACATGATGCTTGGCATTCAGGCTAAATTTGGTTTCATCAGACCAGACAATTTGGTTTCATCAGACCAGACAATTTGGTTTCTCATGGTCTGAGAGTCCTCTAGGTGTACCATGGGGGCTTTCCTGTGCCTTTTGCTGAGGAGTGGCTTCCTTCTGGCCACTCTACCATAAAGGCCTGATTGGTGGAGTGCTGCAGAGATGGTTGTCCTTCTGGAAGGTTCTCCCATCTCCACAGAGGAACACTGGAGCTCAGTCAGAGTGACCATCGGGTTCTTGGTCACCTCTCTGACTAACGCCGCCTACACACGGCGGCGTGCGTTGTCGCTTGGCGGTGGGCGTGTTTTGAGCTTGGGGAGTTTACGCGAGCAACGCGACCAACAACCAATCACATGAATCTCTGCTGTCAATTGCATAAAAGGTTTTACATGTCACACTTTATATGATGAACATTTATGACATTAATGTCTATGGTGCTATTGTACTGGCAGATTTGCATACGTGGGATTTGATTGGCTGACGCCTCCGCCTCAGTTTCGAAAGTAGAACATTGCTCTACTTTTGCAGCGAGCACCGCGAGAAAAGCTACGCTTTGCTCCCACAATGCAGTTCGGCGAATCGTGACGTCACCCCATTCAAAGTGAATGGGCAGAAGCGTTGAAGCGTCAACGCACGCCGCCGTGTGTAGGGGCCGTAAGGCCCTTCTCCCCCGATGTTCAGTTTGGTTTGGGCGGCCAGCTCTAGGAAGAGTCGTGGTGGTTTCAAACATCTTCCATTTGCAAATGATGGAAACCAATATGCTCGTTGGGATGTTCAATGCTGCCGACATTTTTCTGTACCCTTCCCCAGATCTGTGCCTTGATACAATCCTGCCTCTGAGGTCTACAGACAATTCCTTGGACCTCATGACTTGGTTTGTGCTCTGATGTGCACTGTCAACTGTGGGACCTCATATAGACAGGTGTGTTCCTTTCCAAGTCATGTCCAATCTATTTAATTGACTACAGGTGGACTCCAGTCAAGTTATAGAAACATCTGAAGGATGATCAGTGGAAACGGGATGCGCCCGAGCTCAATTTTCAGTGTCAAAGCAAAGGGTGGGAATACTTATGTACATGTGATATTTCATTCTATTATTTTTAACATGTTTGCAAAAAAAGATTTAAGTTTTCACTTTGTCATTATGGGGTATCGTGTGTGGAATGTTGAAAAACAAAATGAATTTAATCCATTTTGAAATAAGGCTGTAACATAACAAAATGTGAAAAAAGTGAAGGGGTATGAATACTTTCCGGATGCACTGTATCTCACTGATGGCCCCTGGACGAGCCGTGAGGTCCTCTTCAGCTTTTTAAACATCTCTAAAATCCCCCAAAATCAAATGGGTGAGGCGGCTTTTATCCACTACGCTCCCAAAGTGTGGAACACCAGGAAATATCAGAGAGGCCAACTCAGTGGACATTTCAAACGGCAGCGAAAGACACATCTTTTTAGATTAGCTTTCTATTAGTGACACCACTCTTTTAAGTTTGTCTTTTATTCTTTATTATTTGTATTATTCTTATTAATTATTTCGTTATCTTATTTGGGTTTTATTTGTATTTTATTGTTTTGTTTATTTAATAGGTTTTTATATTTGATCGTACATAATGGTTTTGTCTTCCTTCATTTGACCTAGGGATCACTATTTATTTGATTGTGTTTTATTATCAAACCTGTTACCTGCTGTCTCTTAAAGTGTTTAACTGTTATATCATGTTTTTATGGTTCAACATCTGGCCTGGTGGTTATCCAGTGTGCAACACAATAACCGATAGTTTTCTTGTCTGTCCATTTAAAAAAAAGAAAGACAAAAGAGTGATTTGGATGAACATTTATAGATTCAAAAGGAGACGTGGAGAGACTCCAAGTGTCCATCCAGGAGGAAAACACAGATCTAAAGCAGTCTTTAAAACTCAAAGCAGTGCCGGGATAATCTCACAAAGACTGCATGATATCAAGAAAGGTTAGAACATTTCCCAGAAATTGCAATTGTACCACCACCAGGACAAGAAAAGGCGAGCCGCTCCACCTTCATCGCCAGTTGCCTAAATGCTCCACTTCCAACCTAAGTTTTCACATTAAAAAAAGACCTACAGCTCATTTGAAATTGCAAATGTGATACCCTCAGAGTCGAACACTTTGCCCGAGGTTGATATGGAAACCACTGGAAGAGGGTGGGGGGGGCTCTCAGGCCTTGGGGAATAACAGATGACATGTAACAGGAAAATGAACCAGAATACAAAAAAGGGTAACTATTAGTTAACCATTAGTTACATTAAAAAAAGATGTACTCAGATAAGTGTTTCACTGATTACAATGTTACTAAAAAAACAAACATTATTTTTGCTTCGAAACAGCATTGTGTTGTTCGCATTATGCTTTATGAAAGGCAGTTTTCCCTATAAATAAAATCTCTGAGCAGAGGAAAATGTTTTGATCCTAAATATCTTGGTTTCTTCTACGGTCACATTGTTCTGTTGTCTTACATAAAACACTTCAGTAAAAACATCTTATTCATACTTATTTTCTATTGTATTTATTTGTATTGCATTTGATATTGAGGTAATCCAAAATGAACCAAAAGTTATCAGGTTAAATGACTTTTTGATTCACAGAATAGGTTACTGATTAAAATGACTAGTTACAGGTAACTAGTCATTGTACCATATAACATTATTAAAGTAACCCTCCCAGTGTTTGGGACTAATCTGACCTCAGCTCCTGTAATGAATGCACACATGTTTTTTCCTCCTGATGGACGGTTTGACAGTCTTACCATGAGCAGGTGTCTCCTTGTGTCTCCTCGTGTCTCCTTGTGTCTCCTCGTGTCTCCTCGTGTCTCTTCGTGTCTCCTTGTGTCTCCTTGTGTCTCCTTGTGTCTCCTTGTGTCTCCTCGTGTCTCCTCGTGTCTCTTCGTGTCTCCTTGTGTCTCCTTGTGTCTCCTTGTGTCTCCTCGTGTCTCCTCGTGTCTCCTCGTGTCTCTTCGTGTCTCTTCGTGTCTCCTCGTGTCTCCTCGTGTCTCCTCGTGTCTCTTCGTGTCTCCTTGTGTCTCCTTGTGTCTCTTCGTGTCTCCTCGTGTCCCCATGATGTCCATCCTGCGGTGAACTACAGTTCTGACAGTGTTTACAGCAGATTCAAACGCACTGAAGGTCAGCATGCTCTGTATTTTTGAATTGTGTTAGCCTAGAATGTCCTCTGGTTGAAATAACAGTGAAGTTTGAGTCAGACATTCTCATCATTAAACCCTGCGAAGCTTTGGAGGGCTCTTTCAATTCCTGGCAGATACAGATCTAACTTGGTTACCCATTTGGTGATGTGCATAAAGACAAATACAATTCTAATATGTGATTTGATGGTTAAGCATCCAAAAGCGAGCAAATCCTTCATAAATATCCATGTACGTTTTTGGTGCAGTATTAACAGAACCATTTATTTTGATCTTAAATATGTTCCAATAATTTAAATGAAAAAAATAGAAACTAGCTACAAAATATGCACAACAATCAAAAACAGGTTCAGTTTGTGTCAAAAGACATTCTGTGTTCTTTTGTTTACAGACTCAGTTTGAAAAGTATCTGAGTCTAAATCCCAACAACACCTCTGAGTATCTTTATTCATTTAGTCTTTTATTTATTTGTATTAAAGCATTGCTCCTAGTACGCATTGTCTGTCTCTGATATGTGCCACGAATGTTGTCATCTGAACTCATTGTAATGCTGAGAGGTGAGGGGGGGGAGGGAGGACCACCCCCTGTCTCTGCAGGTGTCTCAGGATGTCCAGGATGGAGTCCAGCTCCAGACGGAAGGCCTCCACCTCTCTGCTCTTCTGCTGAGCCAGCTGCTTCCAGCCCTCCACCTCTGACTGCTGACCAGAGTCCAGGGTCTGCCAGGAGCCCCCGATCACCTGCAGGGGGGGGGGGACTCTGAAAATGAGTGGGCATCAATCATATCCAACATTTGGATCTAAATGGCAGTATGGATTAGTGCAGTATCCAATTGTATTAAAGGTAATACTTGGTCAAATATGTGACGATATCATTTTGGCACATAGTGCTGCAGAGAAGTTACGGCCAACAAGCAGTATTCTACAGTCCAATCAAAACCCTTGTTTGGTAAAGAGACCTCTTCAAAATAAAATCAGCATGATTGTTTTTTATATAAAAAAAGTCACCAACTTGATTTAACTAAGCCAATCTGTAAGAGCCTTCCATTGGATAATTACTGAAGTGATTCATATGTTTCAGCTGGCAACAAGTTATTTAACCCTAGCTGATGCGGTGAGTAGCTTCTCATTCCTTTAACAACCATGTCGGAAGATATCCTGTGGTCGTGGAAAGGATGTTAATCAGTTTCAGAAGGGGTATAATTATTGGCCTGCATCAAGCAAAGAACACAACTAAGGAGACCGCTGAAACTACTCAAATCGGGTTAATAACTGTCCAACACATTATTAAAACCAAATCAATGGATCCAGATTGACCCTGTTCCAGAGTGATGGGCGCATCAGGGAAAGAAGAGAGGCGGACAGGCAGCGTATTTTCAATGATAAGAACGTTTCAAAGATGATCATTCTCTCTAATATTGCAATTGCAGGAGCCTTGGTTTCCACTTCTGAACAACATGGAGAGAAGCTGGGATCCATTCAAAGTGCAGGTATTTTGATATGGGGGCAACAGCTAGTTTAGAATGAATACTGCAGGACAGAAGCGCAGTATGCTGGCCAGCCAGTCCAATGTTGCAGCACTGGATTATATAGTACGGAGCCCCTAAAGGGACATGGAAAAAATAAATAAAGAGAGAGAGAGAGAAAAAAAAGAAAAGTCGTTATCCCGACTTTATTTTTATTTTTTGAGAAAGTTACCGGTGCGCCAAGGAGGAAGTGGAGCAGTTCGATGTGTGTAGAGGTGTGTGTGTGTGTAAAGGTGTGTGTGTGTGTGTGTGTGTAGAGGTGTGTGTGGTTAAAACGTTACGTAGCAGCCTGCGGTCACTCTTTAGCTGTTCAGATTAAGGTAAACACAGTGTAGGCGGTGCGTAAAAGCTCTTTGCGCGCTGGTGCTGCTCTTCTCAGAGACGTCCCTCCGCCTCCTGGAGTGACCGCAGGCTGCTACGTTTTTAACCACACACCCCTGGCCGAAATGTCCTTAAAATTAAGTCCGAGTTCGAAATATATCTCAAATAATGTATGCACAGACTGCAATGAAATGGTTGTCTCCTGTGTGTTCCACTTCCTCCTTGGTGCACCGGTAACTTTCTCAAAAAAATAAAAAATAAAGTCAGGAAAACAGGTTCGTTTCTCGTGCGTTTTCCTGACCAAATTTTTTTTCTCATATTTTTTTTTTATGTCTCTTAAACTGTTATCCCGACTCTTTTTTTTTTTTCACAAGATGCTTTCTCGTGCGCACAAGATACTAACCCGTTATCCCAATTTTTTTTTTTTCTCTTTTTTTTTTTTCCCATGTCCCTTTAGGTGCTCCGTAATATAGACCCCAAACATCATTTTTCATGAAGCAACAAGTAAAGGTGATTAATATTCTCTCTGGATGCTGCCCCCATGGTTACCTGCTGCAGCTTCCACTCTCTGCTCTGGTGCCGCAGCTCCATGTCGAGGATCTTCCTCTCCAGACCGCTCAGCAGCTTCCCCTCGGGGCTCTGAGCCTCTTTAGCTTCCTTCAGATCCTTCAGCAGTCTGCTCAGCTGCACACAGAGAGGAGACAATGTTTTCAAATGAAAATACATCTACTAAATGTAATAAAGAACTTGTTCGTCTTGGGGAAAAATATATAATAATCAAGCAAAGCAGTGGCGAACCGTATCTATCACAACTGGACCTTCTGTAGACACACACACCCCCTGCCGTACGTCTTGAAAAGGGTACGCACAACAATTCCTCAACAACTTCATCTTCACCTGTTGCACTTGCAATTTCAACGTTAAAAACAATAAAACGGCATGAATTGCTTCGTCGCATTCATCTAGATCCTCTGTCTCGAGCCAGTGAACTACCGGGCCTTCTAGACCCTGGAACCGAGGGAAACTCTGAAAGAATACGCCCATTAGGCGCGTTCACACCGCAGTACTGGGAGTCCCAGCAGCTTCTACTGAAGCCAGTCCCCAACTCCGGGGACTTCCGGCCGGGGACTCCGGGTGGCAGTATACACCGTGAAGTTGTTTGCGGCCTGCCAGTAAACCCAAAGCAGAAGAAGACGAAGTGACGTCAGCGGCTTCATTTGCCTAATCCTCCCTCAGGGATTTATTCCGGTGTGAACGCGATCTGTACTTAGTTCATGAGAACTAGAGTTCTCATGAACTAAGTTCTGATGAACCTTTGTGGGAAAAGTACTGCGGTGTGAAAGCGCCTATTGGCTACAAATCAATATATGATTGGTTGATCAAACTGTCAGTCCAAATGTACGCTCTCATTCAGTGCAACGGCCAGGGCATTCTATCAAGGATATAGAATACCTTGGTTGAAGGATATTCAGAGACCCAGAACAACATCTGATTGGTTGCTTTCTTTTCTAACACAAAACCACTGAAATGCGTAGTGCATGGACCGAGAAGGACAAACAGATCAACGTAACACTGTAATATTACAGATCAACAACACAGATACCATTCTCATTTAATCATTTTACATACATTTTATTTATATAATTAAATCGATCTTTTGTTTGTTTTATCTGAGTGTTCCAGGGTATTCTCTGAATACCTTGAAGGACCTGACGGTTCGCCACTGAAGAAAAGAAACAAAACGATTTTTTGTTCATGTCCTGTGCCATCTTGTTGTACAATACCACCACATTTTGCAGATGGATTCGAAAACTCAGTCACATCCTGAAAACCAAAATACCAAATGGTTCCAAACTATCTTCTTTAGATCTCTCAACTCTCAATAATATAAGGGGCTGCTAAAAGATGCTGGTTAAACCTACTCTCATTCAAATGTGTCACATGTTTGAATTGTATGAGGGGAGGGTTACCCTAAAGTATGATGGGGTTTTTATTACAATAATAAAAGAGTTATCGCAAATAAAAACCATCCAGAAATCAAACAAGAAGCAACACCTTTGTTTTGATATGATTTTATAAAATAACTTAAAATAAATGTTTATGAAAAAGCCTTGGACCTGTTTCTGCAGAGCGTCCTCTCTGGTCCTGGAGACAGTGAGAGCATCTTTGGCTCCCTGCAGCTCCTGCAGCTGCTCTTTCAGGTGTTTCACCGTCACCTGCAGGGAAACGTCACAGTGAAAGCAACAGAAATACTTTCCAGGACTGTTGAAATTCCTGTTAGTGTGTCAGTACCTCCTGAGTGTGTAGCTGATTGGTCAGCTCAGCCACCCGTGAAGAAGAGTGTTCCAGGGCGTAGCCGGCCCGCAGCGTGTCCAGAGCCCGGAGCTGCTCCGCGTTCATGGAGCTCAGCTGCTCTGCACCCTGCTGCTTCACCCTGACACACACATGCAGGTCAGATATCAGATCACCCTGCTGCTTCACCCTGACACACACATGCAGGTCAGATAACACATCACCCTGCTGCTTCACCCTGACACACACATGCAGGTCAGATAACACATCACCCTGCTGCTTCACCCTGACACACACATGCAGGTCAGATAACACATCACCCTGCTGCTTCACCCTGACACACACATGCAGGTCAGATAACACATCACCCTGCTGCTTCACCCTGACACACACATGCAGGTCAGATAACACATCACCCTGCTGCTCTGCACAGTGTCAGTGAGTGTGTGCACACACACCTGCTCAGCTCCTCCTCAGCGTGTTCAGCCTGTGCAGTCAGCCCCTCCCTCTGCAGCTGCAGCAGCTCCACCTGCTGCCTCAGAGCCTCGCTCTCCTGCACCACCTCTGAAATGTGGCAGCCTGTCAACAAGCAGCAACAAGAGCATGTGAGTCATTATTTATCTTTTTTTCCCCGCCACCTTAGGTCTTTTGAGGAGAGGAAACAAATTATACTTTTCTGTATGTGATGAATATGATAGTACTGCAATACTACATGGTACAAGTGTTTGTACGATCTACAAGACTGCTCCTCCAAATACAGGTCTGCTCAAAGATTGTACATCATCCCTTTGAGAAACTCTATGAATCACCCTACTATAATAACATATTAACATTATTTCTGACCTCACTGAATGTGAATTCTCAAATCGTAGATAAAGGGTCCCATGATTTAATAAAGTTAGACTGAAGCACTCTTGTGCACAGGTCAATCCTCAAATTAGAGACAGAATTAAATCCGAGGTCAAATGTACGTTAAATGTACAGTACGTTGTAATAGTGTTACATTTATCTTTCCTTGTTTCTTATGCTAAATATTTCTCCTTGTCATGACTTCGATAACACTACTAACCCCAATTCCAATGAAGTTGGGATGTTGTGTAAAACGTAAATAAAAACAGAATACAATGATTTGCAATTCCTTTTCGGCCTATATTCAATTGAATACACTACAAGGACAAGATATGTAATGTTCAAACTGAAAAACTTTATATTTTTGTTGCAAATATTGACTCATTTTGAATGTGATGCCACGTCCAATAAAGCTGGGACAGGTTCATGTCACCACTGTGTTACATCACCTTCCTTTTAACAACACGCAATCAGTGTTTGGAACTGAGGACACTAATTGTTGGAGCTTTGTAGGTGGAATTATTTCCCATTCTTGCTTGATGTACGACTTCAGTTGCTCCACAGTCCAGGGTCTCCGTTGTTGTATTTGGCACTTCATAATGCGCCCCACATGTTCAATAGGAGACAGGTCTGGACCCCCACTCTTTACTACGAAGCCACGCTGTTGTAACACGTACAGAATGTGGCTTGGCATTGTCCTGCTGAAATAAGCAGGGACGTCCCTGAGAAACGTCGCTTGGATGGCAGCATATGTTGCTCCACCTGTTTGTACCTTTCAGCATTAATGGAGCCTTCACAGGTCAGCGAGTTGCCCATCTCGCTGAACATCACAGATGCTTTTGAACTTTGCGCTGAGTACAATCTGTGTCATGGGTTCAATGTTGGTTTTCAGCCTTGCCGCTTACATGCAGAGATTTCTCTGGATTCTCTGAATCTTTTGATTACATTATGGGCTGTAGATGATGAAATCCCTTGCAATTGTACATTGAGAAAGGTTGTTCTTAAACTATTGGACTGTTTGCTCACGCAGTTGTTCACAAAGTGGTGAACCTCGCCTCATCCTTGCTTGTGAACGACTGAGCCTTTCGGGGATGCTCCTTTTTTACCCAAGCATGACACTCACCTGTTTCCAATGAACCTGTTCACCTGTGGAAAGTTCCAAACAGGTGTTTTGAGCATTCCTCAACCTTCCCAGTCTTTTGCTGCCCTGTCCCAGCTTTTTAGGGACGTGTTGCAGGCATCACATTCAAAATGTGTCAATATTTGCACAGAAAAATTCAGTTTATCAGTTGGAGCATACATACCTTGTCTTTGTAGTGTACTTAATTGAATATTGGTTGAAAAAGATTTACAAATAAAAAAATGTAAGGTCATTTTATTGTTCCTCCTGTCGTAAAGAGATCCTCCCAGATCGTGTGAGATGGGAATGTACTCTACAGTCCATTATCCATGATGAATCCTGCTTACTTACTTATTAGGTTTCAGCAGTATGAATTACACACATTAACTCAGTATCTTCCAATATTAGCCTGTTGATTTGTATTCTCTTTGTTTTAACAAACCCCACTGCAGTCAGCATGTCGTTGTGTCCCTGAGACACTTCACCCCAAACTGCTCCAGTGGGGATTGTCCACAGTACTGAGTATGTAAGTCGCTTTGGATAAAAGCGTCTAACAAGTAACATGTAATGTAATGTAACATTGTAGTCAATGTATGGTTCACAGCCTCTCACACACAGGGTTGAAGAACTCAAGTCTGTTCTCATGGTATGTTTGGTATCATCTTGTTCTTGTCTTGGCCTTCACAGCGTGCTTGAACTCTTCTCCGTTTTGCCATCACTCTCTTCTGTTAAAGGTTTGGTCTTTACAGAGACACAAAGCCCTGCTCAGAACCATCAAGAAGTGACATGCAGAGCTCTTTCCCCTATATCTATCAACACAACCTAGTCAACTTGTATCCTACAGAAACTTAAATCCACCTGACTGAAAGCCATGGTATCGATTAGATGTATGAAATCATTTTTAGAAGCTAACAAGCCATTCTGCTGAAACCAGGGAGGTAAAAAAAGGAGGCCTATGCACGAGGTATGAGGTACTGTCCTTACCTTAAATTGTTTGATATAAACCAGTTATTTGGAAATTACTAAAGCAAATATTAGATAAATGTGAAATTGTTATGCAAGGAAAGACTTGGAAAGTGGTGTACCTCACATCGCATTTTAGGTGCATCTGCATTACTTGATATTTGATTTGTGTTTATATATTTGACTTAAGCCCGGGGTATTCCCAGTTTAAGAATGGATATACAGTATTTGCATCACATCAGTTTTTTGTCAGTCTGGTTTTGTTTTTGGATATCGTGACGTATACAACATATTATTCCTGTAAGCATGCAGATGGAAGAGGATGAAGGGCAGGTCTGTACCTGTGAACACAGTGGGCTGGTAGGTCTTCTCATACTGAGCAGCTGGAAAGGTTTCCCCCCCACCGGTCTCCCCCCCCAGCAGCAGAACTGAGGCTTTTAGCTGCGGGTCGTTTGCTCTCTGCTGGGGGGGGGGCAGACAGCATGCGGCTCCTCTCCCTCTGCAGCCGGTCCACGGTGCGGCTCAGCTCCTGGACGCTCTGGGTCTTCAGGGCCAGGTCTTTGTTCAGACGCTCGATCCGGAGCCCAGAGGCTGCCTCGGCCTGGCGCTGGTGCCGGCCCGGACTGGGCTGGGGCTGCAGAGGAATTCAGTTACATTTCGTTTTTTCAATTAGCACTTTAAACGGTGAAGGCACTTGCAATGGATGCGTTGGGACGAAATGTAAACCATATGTTGGTGTTTCATTTTTCCTCTTTACTTAAAGGTGGGGTAGGTAAGTTTGAGAAACCGGCTCGAGATCGCTAGAATTTGAAAATACACAGCCGGAAAAAATCTGCCACTTCCTTACAGAGCCCCTCCTCCAACACACGAACGCGCACATGACCAATGAGGGCACGAGATAAGTTTGTGCACAGATGGAAGGCTGACAGGCAGGCAGGCCATCCAGTTACTTTAGCCGGGCCGGCTCAGATGATTGGTCGTGCTTTTTACAGTATTACGGCTTCCACAGATGACATTTTGTTATGGATTTTTTGTCAAAGCACTTAAGATATTCATTGCTATCGGGATGTTAAGAGCATTCCATGGAATATAACAAAAAGTGTATCTCGAGCCGGTTTCTCAAACTTACCTACCCTACCTTTAACATGCTGTTGTCCTTTTAAATGTGTTTTCATATCAGAACAAGGGGTTCTTTCATATAATCGGACCACACATAACATAGAAGGTGTCATACTTTCTTCGCAGGAAATATTTATGATAACTACTTACAATGGATTATGGGTGTTTTATTTGAACATATGGCATCTGTGAATTTATAAGATTGACAAACATCATATGTGTAATTCATGGCACAATTCAAACGGGATCGAAAGATAACTTTTCTCTCCCCAATACATAATTTATCCGAAATAAGGTCCCATGGGTCGGAAGTAGATGGGCGGGACTTCGCCTCTCTATGGCTTTTTTGTCGAGGGAACCCGAGCACAGCTTACTTCTGGGTTTTAGGACGCGTCACTGCACCACTTGCATAAACTTCACAGCGGGCGGAACTTGTCATAAAGTCTGCGAAAATAAAGCCCACCCATTTAGAGGGAAGATATGATTGGTCAATTGTACTGTCACTTGACATTACTCTCTCGTGGAGTTACTATAGCGGGCCCTCTGTGAATGTACAGCAGGACAGTAACTCGCAGAGAGGGCCAGACGAGCTGAACAGAAACTGAACAGGCAGATTCAAAGGATTTATTTCTTTGGAAATGTTATTTTAAATACAATTAAATCAAGTTTTTTTGGTAAAACTAATGAAAAATTAAATTTAAAAAAAATATATTAAATTAAAATCTTCTTTTTTTTTAATGTTTTCAAATATTATTTTTTAGAATATCTTAGGCCCTCAGAGAGGGACGGCTCGCCACTGAGTCTGTGATCAACTTTCTCTCCTCTGATCTTAACTAAAGTCCAAAATATTCAACATTTTTGACTTTTTATACTCAAAAGTAGTTTGAGTTTAATTTTGTGTATATTAGGTCATGACAATAAATTCCAAAAAGAAGGATGATGTTGGACATTGTTGGGAAGACGATACAAAGGTTAACATTTCATTCAACTTTTTCTTCAAAACAAAACAAAGATCTTGGGTAGATAATAATAAATATGAGACTACATTTCAATGATACCCTTTTAACAAAAAATAAATCAGGTTCATAAACAGCTACTACTCATTGTTCTATTCAACATGTCCAGTGTTTCTGGCCTACCTTGTGTTTGAGCTGCTGCTGCAGGGACTCTATCTGCTCCTGGAGAGACTTCGCTCTCTCCTGATGGCTCTGCTTCACCTGCTGCAGCTCTGCCTGCAGGGTTTGAACCTGAGACCTCCACAGCTCCGCCCCCTCTGCTGACTCTGCACTGTCCAGCTGCAGTTTGGGTTCCAGCTGCTGCTCCAGCTCTGAGATCTGCTGCTCGTAGCGCAGCTGAGATGGAGAACAAACATGCGTGTTGAAACTCAGAGAGACTCAAGCTTGTGTGTGTGTTGGTGTACACACATCTGAGAGTTTGTGAGTAATGAGCTCAGGAAAGATAAATGAGACTCTGATTACACTGCACCAGTTACGTGAGAGTTTGTAAAAGGGAACTCTAGACGTGGACCCAATTCATTCAATTCATCAAGACATTTTTCAGTATTTGGATTGTTTATAACCCTGGAGACATGTGAGAAAAACTTTTCTTCAAGAATTCAAGGTAACACACGGTGGGTTATTGTAATATAAATAATCATTCTTGGATTCATTTAAGTTAAAGTTTGATAAAAAAAAAGGCCAGGTTATAAAATTGTTAAAAACTCAGTGATATTCATTGAGCAAAGGATGCATGTTTGCAGTGTAAAATAATTAGCTATATAAAAATACCAATACCAATTATTATACTTATAATAATAATATCTGTCATTTTGACGCTGAAAGGTCAGTCTATCAAATGGCAGTTGACTGATTGACCTTGATCCTGAGGAACTGCTGCTCCATGGCCCTCAGGCTGCGTTTGGCCCCCTCATCGTGGCCCTCCAGCTCGGCCTCCAGGCGCTGGATCCTGCGCTCCTGCAGAGCACTGATTCTGCTGGGGGGGGACGTCCCATTAGCCCCCTCTTCTGCCCCTCCAGCTGTGGCTGCAGCGTAGATCAGAGCCGGCAGGGAGTTTGGGTTTCTACGCCTCAGTATCTGCTCCAGCTCCTTCACCTGGGAAACACAGAACAACACTTTATAAATATGAAGAGACATAAACAAGGGGGGGGGGGGGGGGAAGAGTTTCATTATGTAGTTTGTGAGAGAAACCTGTCGCTGCAGGTCCTGCATCCTCTTAGTTTCCACTGTTTTCTCTTTGGTCTTTGTCTGCGCCTCGCTGCTTCTTTTGCCCACATCACTTTTCAGTTTTTCTACCTGGAATGAAGACTAGCTGTTCATTCAACACAGTGCACAACATTAAAGTGTGGAGCTGGAACTGGCTTTCTGTACACATTCCATCCCTCATCGCAGCTGATCCTCAAGAACTCAGTTCCTTTGGAAGCTGCTACCCTCACACAGCAGGCACACTGAACATGAAATGGACTTGAGATGAATTCCTTCTTAACAGTCAGACATACGTACATGCACACAGCACCGCACAGTGAAATGTAGTCTCTGCATTGAACAACTCCTTAATTAGCAGCAGTAGGCAGCTGTTTTACAGAGCACAGGGAGCAGCCTGGGGGTCTAGTGCCGTGCTGGGGGTCACTTGGCATCTCTTAAAGTACAATCTTTGTACGTTCAGATGCTTTTATCCAAAGCCACTTATGACCGCCATGACTGAGAGAGATTAGGCAATAAAGTTTCTACTGCGGTAAGAAAGAGTGTGGTAAAACACCTCAAACTGTGCATGTGCTGTGCTTGAGAACACACTTTTCATGCTGAAATGATGCCACAAGGCGGCAAACATATGACCATTAAAGGGCAATATCAGCACAAAATGAAAAAACATTTGGTTCAGTGATTGTTTGTGTATTGTATGTCTTTGTAAAGATCAGTGTACAGTGGAGGTGAAGGAGCCCACCTGCTCTTTGAGTTGGTGAATCTGAGTGGTAGCAGCCTTCAGTCTGCCAGCGTCTCGATCCAGCAGCTCCTGGTTTTCTGCAAACCACTGCAGCTTTTTGCTCAGGGACGACACCTCCTCTCTGTGCTTCTCCTCCAACACGCGCATATCAAAGGACTTATCACCTGTCACAATGGATACAGATGTAAGTAAAACCAAACATCACTTATAGATTTAATGTGTTCAAGTCTTATGTTCTACCACTAGCAGTTTTACCTGAGGCAGACACGCCCTGAGCTTTAGCGAGGTCCCTCTCTTTCTTCATCAGCTGCAGGTCCACCTCCAGAGCCTGCTTCTCCTGCTTCACTCTGCGGACATCCTCGCACAGTGTGGCTTCATTCCTCTGCACACACACACACACACACACACACACACACCACACACACACACACACACACACACACACACACACACACACACACACACAACACACACCACACACACACACACACACACACACACACACACACACACACACCACACACACACACACACACACACACACACACACACACACACACACACACACACACACACACACACACACACACACACACACACACACACACACACACCACACACACACACACACACACACACACACACACACACACACACACACACAACACACACACACACACACACACACACACACACACACACACACACACACACACACACCACACACACACACACACACACACACACACACACACACACACACACACACACACACACACACACACACACACACACGTAACTGAGGGAGCTGAAACACAGCTTAAGAAATAACGTTTCAGTGGTTGTGGTATTTACCTGAAATGTATTATTTTGAGCTAACAAGTCAGTAATGCGCTGAGTGTGATCCATCAAACACACATTTCCAACAGTCCTGGAGGTATTTTTCAGCTGCTCCCTGGTGAAGTGGTGGATTACGGAGAAAACAAACATTTAACATCATGTTTTTTGCGCAAGCAATTTTCAGAGTTAGGATAGACACACATTAAGTCGGGCATCACCAAGACGCTGACCTATACGGACCCGGACCTATACTCACTAAATGATTAAGGGGTTTTAAATTCTGACAGAGCGCCTCTGTTCTAACCGGCGCAGAGAGGGGGCGACAGAGAGTGAAAACAGAGCTTTCAAACCAGAATGGACAGACTCATCATGTTCCTCCTGCCCACTGGGAGCACAGATCCAGTGTGTGTCATACACTCAGAGACCGTGGAGCTCATTACATATCTACTATTTGTGTCAAGTTCAATAATAAGTGACAATAAATATTGTCTAAATGTTTTTTTAATTGTACTTTCTTTATTTGATTCTTCAGTCAGTTGTTGATTACATGCAGACGTTGATACAGCTACTACGCTACTTCAATATATATCACGCTAATTCATAACGCAAGTTAGACATTATGATGGTCCGGACCTTTGCTTGAGGAAAAGTTCTGGAACTGGACCTCGCTGAATTGAAATTGAATACCCCTGCATTAAGTGAACCCACCTAGTGAAGGCCAGCTCGTTGAGCAGCCTCTGGTTTTCATTGAACATGGCCTCCTCGTTGGATTTACTCTGCGCCTGCTGAGCCTTCATCTGCAGGCACAGCTTCTCATTCTCCTGTAAAACACTCTGTTTTACTGTGGTTCATTGGCACAAAGGATCAAAACACAGGAGGAAAAGAAAGAAAACAAAAGAAAAACTATTTTAGATCAAATTGAGACATGGGAGATATTTTTTAATAATTGATGATTTAAGTTTAATGAGCTGGCACAACGGAGACTTGGAGAGCTAAAGTCTAGCTCAAATGTTCTACCTACTAAATCCCTTTCTTCTCACATCACTACATCCTGCATGTGTCTTCACACTAGTTAGCAGAACATATAGATTATGAGATTGGGTTCATTTGTATCAATGAAATGTGGAGCAGTGCCTTATGAGATATAGAGGAATACATGCCAGTGGCAATACTCAAATATTTTCAGCGACGTGCAGTCAGGGGAGGCAGAGCCTCACCTGACATACTCCAATGTAACGGAAAAACAACTAAAGAAAAACGAAATAGTAATAATAATAAAATGTCTCCACTGATCTGTGTTGTAAGTGTGATTTATGTATGATTCCAATCGCTTTTTATAGTCAAAATCAGCAAATTTGCCGAGCTCCGCTACGGGAGCGATGAGAAGTGAGGCAGGGACGTGCTCTGCCTCTCGTAAGCCCACAGTAACTTGCTGGAGCACGGGCACTAATTTTGTGAGCGCGCTCAAGCCAGTTACTGTGGGGTGAGGTGAGGCACAGATGAGATCTGCCTCACCTCAGAATGCGTCACCCCACAGAAGCTGGCTGGAAAGCGGGCACTAAGCGCATGCCTGTTCCCATCTCACTGTAGGTCACCAATGTAATGTTTGTAGATCCCTTTATTACATTTATCCTCGCCATCCATAGTCTCTAAATAACTTATTTCACGTATATATGATATTTAGGCTCGCTGGTATCAACGGCAATGAGAAAAGCACCAGGAGAGGCAGCCATAACCTCTGCCGCACTGAAGGGGGCGCACGTGAGCCCACAGGTTCTTGTTGCTACTGTAATTCTACGCAGAGACGGTAGACGCAAACAACAAACTAGACTTTTGAAACTACAGGAAGATAAGGAGGACTTTTACAAAACAGTAATAGAGATTGTTGTCCAGAAGGATAGCATGGACTTCATCTTCAAGTCAAGGTAAGACCACATTTGTAATGAAAATGGGATCTTACTAAGAAAGAACAATCCAATATTTAGATTTTGGGTATCCTTTTGTTGAACGGTCTGTTTAAAATGAATCAAAGCATCAGACTAAAAAAGCTTTTGAAAATAACCGAATATTTCGATTAAGGTCAAAATATAATATTTGTAAATCTGACTCAGTGAGTCAGTGCCTCACCAGCCATGAACCTCACCGCACGTCACTGAATATTTTAGTGATTTTGGACCTTTGATTAAACGTTTAATCATTTTTGAGTGGGAAGTAAGATGATGTGAAACTCTCTTACTGCAATCTGGATTTTATTTCATCTTCTCAGAGGAAATGTAGCAAGACTCAGCACCAACGCAGTGTTGTTTCGGTCCAGAACCTTTTTTATCTATTACGTTTTACAGAGAAGAATCAGTCCAGTCCCAAGTTCCTTAAGCTTCATTTGAACGAGACCAGAATTATTTTTGAGAGTCCTCAATGTCCCATGCTGTTAGGGAGCAGCAGCTGAGGGTCCTCCCATCAGTGAAAATGGACTCCCACAAAGGGAAGGATATCTCATAATTACAACCGGTACAATTTAATATAGGATCTTACTGTAGATTTGAGACTATGTTAAATGAAAGTAATTCGTTTTTTTGCTTTTTTTTACTTAATGAAAGGTACACTATGTATAGAGATATGTTTACAATTATAGGTTGCATTTTTACTAGACTCAGTAACGTACTGTAGTAGAACAAAAATTTGCCAGGAAAATAGTAGACCCAAAGGAGGAGAAGATTAGGCTCCAGCCAGACAGAGATATCTCCCGACCTACTTTCCATTTACATATAGAATACAATATTTAAAACACACAGTGGCTTGCCGATGTTATCTTCCTATCCAGAAACAGAGTTGATTAAGGCTGGTGCCCCACGAGGACGAATACGGGTTGTATCTGCATATTTCTCTTGCGTCTAGCCCTTTTTGCTACACGAGGCCGTAACGAAACGATAGAAACGGACCCCGCAAACGACAACGGGTCCAAAGGTGGATAGATCTGGGAACGGAGCGCTCTGGGGGGTCCAACGGCTCCGTGTGATCGCCTCTATACGATCATTTTGTGATCGCCTCCCCCCACCTCTGCTGCTCACCCCCGCAAAAGTGCACTGCACACTGAATTCAGATTCTTTATCTTTATCTCGATATGGACATAAACACGAGTGAAGTCTAATCTGACAGGACGGAGACACGCAGCTCCACCCGCTGTGATGCAGCGGGAGCAAAACACACACTTCAAGTCAGATCATCACCCTTAGCTATTTTAATGACCTCTCAAACTACCTAAACTAGTTATAAATATGTTTATTTTTACTGTCGGGTCACTCATTACAGGATCAGCTGCTGCATGAGACAGACACTGACGCTGTCAGAAGAGAGGAAAAAGAGAGGACAGGCTCCGTGTATTTTATTATTATATATAGTCGTTATTCATTTGTTTTAAAGCTTAATAAATAACAAAGAAGACCTTTGACCGGCACTTTTATAATTTTGTCCGGAAGATTTAAACTTTTACACACGTTGACCGGCGAAAAACTCTGCCCGGTTCCCATCGATTGCGATTGCGTTAATCGCAAAAAAGCTTCCGTCCACACGCAATATACACCGGATAGTGTCTGTTCACACGAGACAGCTCCGTTTAGCTCCAACCGCTGGAAAAGCTGCAGTACATATGCCGAGCCTGTACGTGGCGCTGAAGTTCCTCCACAAAAGCAGCGAAGAAGAATGGTTGTCATGGTTGCGCTTCTGTTTATTCACCGTGGTGGGGGCACAAACAGATAAAAAGATTCAGGGGTGAGTGTTGATGGAAACGAACCTGCTGGTATCCTTTGATGAGCGTCTCCTGCTCTTTCATTTCTCTGTCAAGCTGTTGGAGCTTTTCCCCAGAGGCAGAGTCAGAGGCCTCCGCTCGTTTCTTCTTCTGACTTTCGTCTTCTGCACTTCGCAGCTAAGGAGAGAAAGTAACAGCTTACTAACTGCCCATTTATTTTTCACTCATTTTTGCATCTAATATCAATTCTAAGATTGATCATTGGCAAATCTGAATGAGTTTTATCCACCTTCATTAGAGCGACACAGTGTGTCAGTATCTGCTCCAGTGTGTGTGTGTGTGTGTGTGTGTTCACCTTGCTCTGCAGGAGGTAGTTGTGCTGCTTCAGTGAGGTGATCTCCTCCGCTCCTTCCTTCATCAGCTGCAGCTCCCTCTCTTTCTGAGCCAGCTGCATCTTCAGCTCCTCAACCAGAGAGCGCTCCTCCTCCCTCTGTGAGACAAACAACAACACTCACATCAGAGACATCCCATTTTCAAACTCTGACAACTGATCCTTTGTGTATGGCTTCTCCTAACAGTGATTATACCTTAGAACCAAGGATCACAGCAAGGTGATTTAAAAACAACTGTCCCAATAAAGTCGCATAACAATAGGGCCATGCTGCTGTATCTCACAGTGCTCCTCCATCATTACTCTACTTACTGTCGACCCCCATCTAGTGAGCAGATCTTATCATGCTTCTGGGTGCTCTGTTCTACAGTTGGTGTTTTTTCGCCCTCGTCAAAATAGTCATGTGTGAATGAAGTATTTCCCTACGTTTTTGTTTGGAAGAAGATGTGTCAGTCCGGTTTCTTGAGGACTTCTGACTTCCTGTGTGTGTGTAGCCTCCTGGTGACTGCCAGTGTGTATCTGCTGCTGGAGGACGGCCACCAAGGACTGAACAGAGGCTACTAACTCACTGCTCACCCTCACACCAGGATCTGCTAAACAAAGAAAGAAAAAAGTGATCAGGACCATTTTATCAGGCACACAGCTCCACACCACCATCCTTCATTATATAGCATCTGTGTATGAAACATATTATAGAAGTATCAACACTCATCTTGAGTAATGCGATCAGTTTAATTACTTATTTTGTGTGTTGGTGCCTCTAATAACCTGTGTGGTCGTCTTTTGGTTGGTTCTTTGAGGATTTGGCTTTTTCTTGCGGATGCTGCAGAGGACGGGGGACAGAGGTCTGGGTTTTGGCTGCAGCAGCAGCAGCTCTGCAGGCCCCCCCCCCTGTCCTCCCCTCCACCCTCCTGCCTCTCACAGGAGCCACAGCGAGCTTTCTCACTGAAGATGTAGAGGAATGAGAAACAATGGAGCCACGGGACGCCTGGAAAAAAATATCCAGAATTATCCAAAATGACTTAATAGTTCATCATAAAAGATTCCCATGACAGTGTGGTGGAGGAGCTCTCTGGTTTTGCTAAATATTAGCTCGCTGAAAAGTTGCTAAAAGCTTTGGATTTTGAGGAAATCATTATCATTAGGATACCCTTTGGCTATTTGTGACTTTACATTTCCCTTAGAGTGTTTCTGAAAAAGCTGTTCAATCTGTATTATTTTGATCATTTTATATTATTTGGCTTTTAATTGAATTGTATTTATTCTCTTTTTTTTAAATGTATTATTCAGTCCTGTGTTTATTGACTTTAGTTGATGTGTTTTTATCGATCAAGTTTTGCCCAACTATTTATTTAATACCTGGGTAGGGGGGTGTTATTTATTTGTATTGTTGGTTTGTGAAGCACTTTGTGTAACCCTTTGTGTATGGAAAGTGCTATATAAATAAAGTTTGATTGGTCGAGTGATTGAGTTAATACCATACAGAGCAGGAATGTGGCAGCGCATCACCAAACACCCTTATGTTTCAAATGTTTGATAAGGCTGTCCTGATCACTACAAATATGTAAATGGATGAGATGAAGACAACTATAGCCTTGATTTGGCTCCATCGGATCTGATCTCACTACTGCTTACTGCTTCATGTGTTCTGTCCAGTGTTGGGTGTAACGCGTTACTGTAATCACATTACATTTTTGGTAACGCAGTAATGTAACGCGTTACTGTTATAAATTCAGTAATCACACTACAGTTATTAACATTGCACGAAGAAATGACTAGATTCTCCCTTTGACAGACTAGACTCTAGTAGTTACTACATTATTCAGAAGTTTACAGTAACTTTGATAATAACACAGGAATACTAAACGGAGCCTCTCTTTTCGTCTCTCCCTCTCCTGACAGCCCGTCTGTATCATGCAGCTCGCTGATCCAGTGAATGAGTGACCCGACACGAAGTAAATAATAAACATATTTATAACTAGTTTAGCTAGTTCCAGGGGTAGATAAGATAGGTCTAACTTTTAATCATTTTAAATATTTATAGTCACTAGAGGGATTTCCACCGCAGGTTTATATTTGCAACATTTGCGAGACTTGTCCACATGCAACTGTCACAGGGGTTGTGCTGCAGTGCAGAGACAGTCATCAACAGCTATAACCTTCGAGGGGTGGAAGTATGCCCATTATTTTGAATTTGTCAGAAGAAAGGACAGAAATGTGACAGTAAGGTGCAAACTGTGTCCAGGCTAGAACCTCTCAAGCACCTGCGAAGGCAACATGCTAACATGAAGCTAGTAGCTAAAGACCCCCGAACCCAGAGTGATGATGTTGAGTGTGTGCCGACTCCGAACAAGCAGCAAAAACTAGAATTTTCCCCGTTATTAACTTGTGTTATGTCTTCCTTATTGCTATAGTAATTGATGTGTGCACATGTAGGCCTACGTTTTACGTGGCTATAGGCTGTTGCTGAGTAACGCAAAAGTAATGTAAAGAGTAATGTAACGAGTTACTTTATGTAGAGAGTAAAGAAGTAAAGTAATATATTACTTTTTTTTTTTTTTTAAGTAATGAGTAATGTGAAATACATTACTTTTTTTGAGTAACGACCCCATCACTGGTTCTGTCTGATGCTGAAATAAAGAAAAAGTGAGTTTTAGTTCCTCACCTGTTGATTCTTAGCTCTACCGCCCCGAGAGGACGTGTCAGCAGAATATTTGTTCTCATCCTGAATCAGCCTCTCTACTTCCTGTCTGATGCTCCACGTCTGGTTGGGGGGGTCTGGAGAGCTGGACAGGAGGCTAGCCAATCCCGTGCCTCCATTTATCTCTGGAACAGGGTCAGTCTGTCCTTGTCTCTTGAGTAGGGACTCTGGAAAAGTCGTTTGAAAGGAGCAGGATGTCTGCTCTTGTATGAACCCCACAGCACTGGGTTCATTAGAAGGAAAGAGAAAACAAGGTCAAAACTGCTTTAAAACATTTGGTGTTACTGTAATGAACTTAACCACGGTTTGGAGGTTGGAGGAAAGCAGCAAAACATTTTGATGGTACAATGTTGGATATTCCTAGGTTGAATAAAAGACTGAACAAACAGATAGACAATACATATAGGGGTAATTGCATGTTAAGCACAAACATTTAGAAAGGCTGCTGGTACATAGACAAACATCTTTCTCTGGTAGGCATTAGCTCAGCTCATAATTCAGTCTTGACATAATTACAATATTATTTATATAAATACTTTTCCATTATTAGTTAACTAAACTAGTTATCTTAACAGGCAACATGTTTCATAATGACTTTTCATCTTGAAATGTTGTTCAATATGAATTACTTTATTGTGAAAGTAGAGTGGTGTAGTAATGACTTTTCTTTGGTAGTCCGATCACAGAAGTTATTTTTGCAAAATATCAGTGGGATTTTTCCATTTGATTTTGGAATATTTAAGAAAATAAGACCTGTAAAGCAGCAGGATAATCTTCACATATTAACACCACTTCATCATTTCTGGACTAAAATGCTAATGTTTGGCTATAAAGAATACAGCACGCAAGAGAACCAGAACTACTTAAATGCTAGCTTATTTCTGGCTGTAGGATTAATCCCTGCACCACTCTATGCTAGATCTTGATCCTTATTAGGGTTGCAAAGGGGCGGAAACTTTCCGGTAAATTTCCGGAAAGTTTCCATGGGAAGTTAAGCTGGGGAATTTTGGAAATATTCGATGCAAAATTAAACAAAAAACATGACATTTCAACAGATTTTTTTTCTTTTTAAGTAGAACAGAACAAGTTTTAATTATTTTATTGAACAATTATTTGTTTCATTGAAGAACGAAAACAGGAATGTTGAGTTAAATATTACTCATCCCCCCCAACCCCACTCATTAAAAAATGAACAAAAATGCACCCCCCATCCAAAAATCCCCACAAAGTCCCATTCAAAATGTTAAATGAAAAGATGTGGCTTCATTTGTCTTGTGCTTTGGGCTCAAAAGTGTGATCCAGTCTTCTCGAAATCATCTGTGCATGTGATGGAGGAATGCACAGTGCCTGTAGGGGGTGTGGTCTCAATAGCCATGCAGTAAGCAGAGTGCTATGGCATGGATATTCAAGTGAACTTGAATGGCATCTGTTTGTTTTAGTCAAGATTATGCTAAAATATACTTTCCCCAACTATATTTAAGTTCCCTATGAAGAGCCAACATTCAATTTGGAAATTTCCCAGTTTATTCCCGTTAATTCCCATGGAAAGTTTCCATCTTTGAAAATTCCCGGAATTTTGCAACCCTAATCCTTATACATTTAAAATGTCCTCAAATTTGTCAAAAAGTCTAAGAAATGACTGCATTAAGACCAACCAGTGAACAATCGAAAATACACAAAAAACAACCGCCTGATAATGTTTTGATTTTGGATAATTCAAAGTAAGATGAATCCTGACCTGACAGGCTGGAGGGTGAAGCCTCTGACATCATCCTGCTCCGGACGGATGGGTCTCATCAACTCCTCTGCAGTGGGGAGCTCTACAGCAAAAGTCAAATCATTATTCAACATACCTCAGTCCTGTCCTGCGCATACAGTACAGTATGTACCAGGGACTGATGCCTTAGGTCTGCCTAACAGCATCACTGAAGGGTCAACCAGAGCAGGAAGGTGTGTGAGCTGACAGCTGGAAAGGACACCTAGTTGTACCTTTCAGAGATCAGACCCTTTTAAGGGGAAGTTTGAACTTTAATAGGGCTTTATGATGAACTTATAATCAGAGTGAGACCCATAGTGGATGGCAGTCAGCAGGCCCCCAGTTTGAAAAAAAACATACAGTTACTGTTCTGGGGCTAAGCAACATACTGGTGTGGACGAGGGCAGCAAAAAAGAGGATTTAACCTTGCATTGATAGCAGCATTCATTTATCATGCTCTATATACTTTGAACAAACTATTAGAGAACTGCAGGTCTGCTGCAACTCTCACTTATTTTAAATCTAGGCTTCATTAAATCAAATAACTAGTCATATCTTACTAAATGCTTTTAATAATGTTTTGTTAAGCACTTTAAATTGCCTTGTGTTGAAATGTGCTATATAAATACATTGGACTTGCCTTGCTGTGAGACTTTTAATATAGGGAACATTTCTTTCAGCTTGGTAATGCAACATAACCCCAGGTAAAGCAGGGACTTATACAGGTGATGTGTCTGACCTGACTCATTGGTATCAGCCGGCTGAAGAGACTGCTTGTGTTGAGGAAGGGGAGTGATGGTGATGCCCACCCTCCCTTCCAGAGAAGAATAATGGAGATGATGGTCCTCTGAATCCTCCACAACCTGGATCTGCCTGTAGGCCTCATGGACAGCCTCCATCTCTGAGCCTCCACTCTGCACGTAGGCCCGCCCTGAACAGAAGGAGCATGGTGTGGGAAGGACTGTATGTCAGGAGTGGCTGTGTTGGAAATGTTTGGATGTGTGCTTCTGTCTTTTGAACTCTTGATATTTATTTTTAAGCCCCTACCCCCTTCCCTCAATAGGATTGGATTTTTGCTAAACCACCAGCGGACCTGGGGGGACAGAGCCTTATCCATAGACGCCGCCCCCTCCCTCTGGAAGTCTCTCCCAAAACACTACACTAATTTATCCATGTTCAAATAAAAACTCTTCACTTTAAAAGTGCTTTTAATCTGTTTAATGTTGTGTAATATTCTAAGTGTGTTGTTTTTATGATGTTTTATTAACTTTACCCTGTTAAGACAGGGCCTCCGCTCAAAATAAAAGCTTTCTTTGTAAAGAAGGCCGGCCTGAGAATGACTAAAATGTCTATATAATGATAATTGCTGTACGTTAAATGTGAACACTTTAAATCTTTCTTTGATATCATACTCAACCAGGAGGTGGACTGGGACCTCTCCAAGTAGCAGTCCACACTCCATATTTAGGTCTGTTCGGGGACTTGAACCGGCGACCCTACGGCTCCCAGTCCAAGCCCCTACTGACTGAGCCCGTGTGTTTGTGTTACCTCTGTCCAGTGACCCTGCTGAGTCCTTTCTTCTGTCTTCTGTGTCATCCAGGGAATCATGCAGAGAAACTGAGACAGGAGTAAAGTTAGAGAGGGCCTACTTGTTATTGTATTCTTCTGTTTGGTCAAACACTGACTGACTAAATCCTGATCACCAAACGGATTCATTTGAACTGTGCTCAAAGGATCTAACACAGAGTAAACTCTGCTACATGACCATGATAAACGATCACTTGTTTGGTTCATGCATGATGAATGTTGCCTGCACAGTATATTATTATTGTTGTATAAGTGCTATGTAATGCTTGTCCCAGGCATCTGACACTGAAAAACTCAATTCCAAATGTTCTAGAACAGCCACCCATGAACTCAGTGAAATGGGTGACTTCATAGAATAGAAAAGATTATAGAAATACAATAGAAATATCATGTCTTTTTTTCCTCTTACCTTTGGCAAGAATTGAAGACATCTTCGGTTTCTGAAAAACAGATGATAACATGTCAGAAAAAGAATATCTGATGGCAGTGTAGAACTGGATGCCAGACAAATTGAGCTAGTTGGTTTTTGGAGGCAGAAGAGCAGCTCATGCTAACGTAAATCTATAGCAGTTTAACACATGGATTATGTGGTTTTTGTCCTTAGTGTCATGTACAAGCCAGGATTTCAAGAGAGTCCTTATCAGGGACTCTCTTGAAATTATAATACAAACCTCCTCCAGCGGCTCTTTCTCGTTTTCCTCTTCCTCAAAATCCTCACTGTAATGTGGAGATCCTGTAAGGGCTGAGAGAAAACGCCTGATTGAGACAAACAGAACTACAAGAGATACAGGAAACAGAGAAAGGGTTTATTTCTCTACCTGGAGACTCCCTGCTGATCTCTGTGACTCTCATCTGATCTTCACTCTGCTTCCCCTCTGCATCAGCTTCCCTACAGGGACAATTGATATCCTTATAACATTACAACCGTGATCTTCAAGGGCCTTTTCATTGGAACGCGTTCTTTAAAACACATATCAAGACTTATTTCCGATTTCCACCACAGTTAGTGAAATAAATGTACATACCTGTGGTGAGTAGCGAGGGTAGAGCTTGTTGAGTCCAGCGCTCTGTTCAGCTTGGAGTAATCTATAGTGGATAAAGCCCCTGCCTCAATTTGGGCAAAGAACCTGGCCTTCTCCTGTTCTTCTTCTATGGTGTCCAAGCCAATAACTGTCATGTTCCCAGCTGGTACCATCAGTGAGTCTGCTCACGCATATAAAGGGCACACGGAAAGCACAACCACTTTCAAATCACCTCTCAAAACATACAGTATCTCTTTACACTGGCATATCCACCATGATCACTACTCATGACACATGCTCTGTTCACATTGATTATATACGGCCTTGTCTTGTTTTTCTGTCGGTTTTTTTGTGCGTTTTTGTATCTTGTACGGAGACCTTGAGAGCCTTGAAAGGCGCCTATATAAATAAAATGCATTATTATTATTATTATTATTATTATTATTATTATTATTATTACTACTACAACAGTCAGATAGCAAAACTGAAAGCAAAAAATAAAAGTGTATAAGATGAACTAGAAAATTCAGAGAAATGTTGACTGTGTGACTGAAAGTTGGGTGCGCGTCCCGATGCTAACATTACCCCCGCTGACTAAGTATTAATAGCATTAGTTGTATTGTTAAGGTACAACAAAGAATATCCATTCATTTTAGCTCACTATTTGAACTGTTTATCTATTACATTTTTTGATTCTTGTACCACATTCCTGCATCGTTTCTGAACATCTTTAGATTACCACTGGATTTAGTTAACAACCGACAGGTGTGTTCAAAGATCACAGCGTTTCCACGGCAACGCCCTGCCAGTGAACGAGACAGCCTGTCAGAGAATGTATTGACAATATTGTGCTGCATTATTGCTTCTAAGTAAAAAAACTGTAACTCCAATCAGCTAAATATCCTACCCAGAGTATTTAGGATACCAGATGAACACCTGATGACTCCTGTTTGCTATATTTCATTTCATTTCATCGTTTATTTGAAGAGGGACAGTGCACATTGATGAACATTTTTAACAATTAATGCTTCAAAATGTAAATATGCCGGATTTGAGCTTTTAGCTAATTTCCATCCGTAGTCCATTACATACAACATTTAAGAACATGACATTTATATACATAGCAAAAATAGCATACATGATATGCAGAAAGTGCATGAGCAGCATATAAGCATTAACCACATGGCAGTACAATGTAGTATGGAAGCAATACTACGATATATAAAGTGCAGGAGAAGATACAAGTGCTACATGTTATAAAAATAAAATGTGTTATAGAAATAATAATAAAATAATAAAAATGTTATAGATACGATTGCTCCAACTACGGTAAAGGAAGTGATTGGCAAGAAAATATCTCCATGGAGAAAGGCCATGACCGTGAGAACAGAAAAAAGAGAGTGTCGAAAAGCAGAACGTAGGTGGCGAAAAACAAATCTCCAGGTTCACTTTGAAATCTATAAAGAGAGACTTGGCCTTTATCATTTGGAATTGAAAAACGCACGACAGTCTTTCTTCTCTGACATCATTACCAAAAACAAAAACAACGCACGTGCCTTGTTTGCTACCGTCGACAGACTAACTAACCCCCCAGTGTCAGTAGCCTCTGAATTTCTATCCACCAGGGCGTGCAATGATTTTGCCTCCTTCTTCACTGACAAAATTCAGAAAATTAGACAAGCAGTCAGTGCCTCTGCATCAGGTACAGCAAATGTGTTGTCCCCATGTCCACCTAATATCAATTCAAACACCATGACACAATTCCATCAGATTAATGGTAAAAACTTAGAGGACATTATTCAACTTCTGAAATCCTCCTCCTGCTGCCTTGATATTATTCCAACAGGATTTTTCAAAGATGTTTTTCCTTGCATGGCCTCAGATCTACTTCATATAGTAAACACATCTCTTCACTCAGGTATTTTTCCAGAGGCCCTGAAAACTGCAGTCATTAAACCGCTCTTAAAAAAGAATAATCTAGATGCTTCAGTAATGAACAATTACAGGCCAATATCAAACCTGCCATTTCTAGGTAAAATCATTGAAAAAGTAGTATTTCAACAGTTGAGTAACTTCTTGCATTTAAATAACTGTTTGGATGTGTTCCAGTCAGGATTTTGTCCAAACCACAGCACTGAGACTGCTCTTGTAAAGGTCTTCAATGACATCCACTTAAACACAGACAGTGGCAGAACTTCAGTGTTAGTATTATTAGATCTCAGTGCTGCCTGTGCTCACTGTTGACCACAACATATTACTAGACCGACTAGAAAACTGGGTGGGACTTTCGGCAACAGTTCTAAATTGGTTTGAGTCCTACTTAAAGGACAGAAAAAACTTTGTTTCTATAGGTAAATACACATCTGAGTTGACAAATATGACATGTGGGGTACCTCAAGGCTCCATCTTAGGGCCTCTTCTCTTTAACATCTACATGCTACCACTGGCTCAGATAATGAAAAACAACAAAATAAGTTACCATAGCTATGCGGATGACACACAAATTTACGTAACAATTTCACCAGGAGATTATGCTCCAATTCAAACACTGAGTAAGTGCATTGAACAAATCAATGACTGGATGTGTCAGAACTTTCTCCAATTAAACAAAGATAAAACTGAGGTAATGGTTTTTGGAGCCAAGGCAGAACGTATAAAAGTTAGCGCTGAGCTTCAGTCTGCAATGTTCAAAACAACAGATAAAGCCAGAAATCTATGTGTAGTCATGGACTCTGACCTGAGTTTCAACAGTCACATTAAAACAGTTACTAAATCAGCCTACTATCACCTAAAGAACATATCTAGGATTAAAAGACTAATGTCAAATGTGGATTTGGAAAAACTTGTCCATGCTTTTATCTTCAGTAGACTCGACTACTGCAATGGTGTCTTTACAGGCCTCACTAAAAAATCTATTAGAAAGCTGCAGCTAATTCAGAATGCCGCTGCTCGAGTCCTCACTAACACTAAGAAAGTGGATCACATCACTCCTGTTCTGAAGTCCTTACACTGGCTTCCTGTGTGTCAAAGAATATATTTCAAAATACTGCTGCTGGTTTATAAAGCTTTGAATGGTTTAGGCCCAAAATACATGTCTGACCTACTGCTATATTATGAACCATCCAGAACTCTCAGGTCTTCAGGGACTGGTCAGCTTTCTGTCCCCAGAGTCAGAACTAAACATGGAGAAGCAGCATTCAGTTATTATGCTCCAAATATCTGGAACAAACTCCCAGAAACCTGCAGGTCCGCTGCAACTCTTACTACTTTTAAATCCAGGCTGAAGACTTTTCTTTTTGCCGCTGCTTTTAATTGAACTATACACATCTTAAACTGCACTGTAACTTTTATCCATGTATTTTTTCATTTAATGTTTATTTTATTATCTTTTCTTTTTAATGACTGATTTTAAATGCCATTTTCATAATGTCTTCCATTTTTGTAAAGCACTTTGAATTGCCTTGTGTTGAAAGGTGCTATATAAATAAACTTGCCTTGCCTTGCCTTGCCTTACATGAAGTGCAAAGGAGATACCCCTGTATTAAAGTGCGTTTAGCGGTGATTACACGTCTGGTTGTTTCTCAACCATTCTTTTAGTTGACCTTTGAAGCTATTGAGAGTGAAACAATCCCGTGTCTCAGTTGGGAGGCTGTTCCACAAAGAGCTGCCTGTAATGGAGAGGACATTTTGTCCAAAAGTGGTCCGTCTGTGGTGGACTTCACAGTCTCCTCTGGTTTCTGACCTAGTGCAGCGTCCAGTGTGTTTTCTGTGGATGAATTCCCCTAAGGGAGGGGGGGCCAGTCCATGTAAACATTTATAAAAAAAACACATACTTTTAAAAGACTTAAAATTGTCAAAACTCAAGAAATTGTGTTTTTCAAGGATGGTACAGTGGTGGTATGAATTTGGCTTTCTGTCAGAGTATTTCTCAAAAAATACACAGTAAAAGTACTTCAATGTATTGTATAAGTAGTAGGCTAACTAATACAAAGTCAAACTGTATCAATTCCATTAAGAACTAATGGTAAAATTGTATTTTTATCATTCATCAAAGATAGCAGAAAAACATGCATTATGGAGCTTACTATGAAGGGGACTTTGACAGAGGATTACTCACAAAGTACACAGTGAAAGTACTTCATTTTATTTCTGGTAGAAGTCAAACTAGTACCGAGTCCAACAGTGTCAGTTTTATTAAGAACTTGTGGTAAAAGATATTTGTATCACTCAAATATAACAGGAAAAAAATGAAGAGCCGCTGATTTGAAAAAACAAAGTGGAGAGACGGCTGAGTGACCGCAGTGCAGAATCGCTGTATAGTTTACATCTCCTAACAATGTTGTCCATTTTAGACACAGGCTTATTATATTTACAGCCCTTAGTAACATTCGTTTTCTGGGCTCAAAGTGTGTCTTGGCCGTTTTCGTTGTGATCGCTAAATTCACCTTGTTTATAATATTATCACAGTTCCAAGCAAACGAGTGCTTTTGCTTTGAAATGACTTCCGTGAGTTTCGCCCCGCCCCTCGCTCCAATGACCATTAGACCATTTAGTAAGGTAACAAGCAAAAAGCAAAAAGGCCTCTCAGACGCTCTTCCGCTTACTTGTGTAATAAAGAAAAACAAATGGACGGTAGATACACGGATTGACTCGCTGCAAAACCAACTGTTAGCCTTTTTGTTTATTTGTTTAATGAAACCGGGTGCTTTCAATGCGACCATCTTTATAAGGACGTTGGCACAGGCTACCGGGGAAGTGGACGGCGAGGAATCTTGGAGGGTGTTTACTCCGAAGAGGGCTTCCCGGGGTACTGCAGCTGGAGCTGTTTTCTGGTGGCTGAGGGAACAACAGACCCCGCCTCAACCCAGTGAAGAATCCTCAGTGTCCTCTCCACTTTCAGAGGAAGGGTCAGAGGAACTCAAAGACATGCTGGACTCCAGAGGTCATTCTGTGTCCGTGTTCAGGAAATTGTGCCCGTCTTCTAAATAAATAAAGATTGATTCTGCACTGAAATGCCTCTCGGTCAAACTGCACGTTTATCTTTGGCAGCCAGGTGCATAAACACACTCACAGTTGTTTTTGTTTTTGAGTAATCAAGCACCTCTTCAAAGACACATTTGATTTGATTTATTTCGAACGTGTAATATAATAATAAAACAAATTATAATAATAATGAAAGGAAACAAGAGAATTATGATACTGTAGAAACGTAAGCAGTATCAAATTGATAAACTAAATATTATTGACTTACACATTATATATAAACAAATGATCTACCTAATTACACATCTGAAAAGGCGTGGGAAGAAGTTTACACGTATTTAATCCCACCCCTTCTCCCAAAAACTAAATTAACATTTGTTTTCTTTTCCAGCTCCTCTCCCCTCTAGCCGTGATGTCACCCACTCTAAGTCTTAACCAGCTCTCTAATACACACCCATTAGAAAATGTGAAAGTGTGACATTTTCACAAAACGTAAGCTGCGACTACGTGAGAACCATACTAGCTATCAAAAAATATCCGATTAGTCTAATAAAGTCCATAGTCTCTTGTTATTTTTGTTCTACGTATGCGGAATCTGTATGGGGTCAAAGTGGGGTGTTTTTGAGCTCTGTTCAAATGGATTTCCCATTCAGTCCTATGGGGCAAATCATTGCAGTTTTCTGCGATTTGCATGAAAACGGCTCGACAAATCTCTTATAAAAGACATAGCAACCCAATCCCCGTCATTCCGCACGTTTTGATGTGTTTTTTTGTGTTTCGTGTCAACGCTGCCGGACGAGTAGCATGACAACATTTGTGGCGGAAGAAGGAGGAGAAGATGAGATAAGTATGTCGAATACTATACTGTGTGTGGCTTCACCAGTCACACAGAATTAGACTTGTTAGGTATCTTGCCAAGAGACTCATCGACATTGTGACTGCATGCTTTTAATAAAATGTATTTGTCCTCATAACCATCTCTGGACTCACCCTCTAGCTCAGCATTGGCACAGCTGACAAGGGCTGATTCTGGACTGACTTCCTTCAAACCAGCGTCTCCTGGATCATCCTCCTCCTCTTCAACAGGCTTCCTCAGGGACTTCCGGAAAGTTTTCCCAAATCCCAGCAGTCCTAGAGAAACATGACAATGCACAAGTGAATCTTGTTTTAGTGAATGGAGGTCATGCCACCTAGGTCAGATGACATACTGTAAACAATCTGAGATTCTGACTAATAACTGTAATAGATCATCTAAATGTTATACTTAAACATATTTATTCTACTATTTAGAGTGGTACAGGGATGAGTCCTAAACACATACATTAGTTAGCGTTTTAGCCCTTTCAGGCTCCCTCTTATGGCAGTAATTGTTTGTTTTGATTCCCCAAATAAGGTATGTGGTGATGCGCAACCATGTGACCATGATGTAGTATCTTTATAGCCTGACATTAGCTTTTTCGGCCAATTGCATCTACGCTTCATGAATAATAAAAGTGGTTTAAGAACGTGGAGATTATCATGTTGAACAAAACATGTGCACATCATAAATGATTGTGTGTCACAGATATCATTTTCTGCCATATTTCTAAATCCAATGGAAAGATCCTATTGCTTTTTGTCGAGGGAGCCCTTGTGGTGCCAACTTCCAGGTCAGTCTACAAAAATACGTGATCACTGCACCTATCTGTTAAGTCTACGTGTGCTTACTGACTCACCAAGGCTTGCCTATTTTTCATATAAAAAAACTACTAGTACTACAATTTGTTTGTAAGGAATAATACATCTGAAACCCGATTACCATGTTGGGGATTCAGAACCTGACACAATCGAACAGATCATCATCATCATCATCATCAACATAATCACCTCAAAGAGGCAGTGTCATCTGATCAGGACTGTATTTGTATGCATTACATTGTACAGGTGTGCCCATGTTGCTGTTTCCCCATGTGCAACTATGCAAAGACTTTCTAAAAGTCTTTATACATGTGTGTTTCTCCTGAATATATCATTAGTAACTGGTCCATCAATCAGCTGTAGGTAGGTATTAATATGGATGACCGAACAATAGAAACTGCATAAATCTGTGCACATGTTGTGTCCTTAATAAACTAAATGGTGAAAATGTCACAATTTCCTTATGCGTCTTCATTTATGTTTAGATCGACAGGAAATGTACTCTTACAGGACACAGAGCGCTGCTACTCTTGTCCCATACTGCCCCCCGCTGTCTTTTGCTATGCATGCATTCTTCAACTTTGCTTTTGAATTGAGTTCAGTTTTGCAGTTTATGAAACATTTAAAAATGAGGCTTTGTTGAAATGTGAGGTAATAAATGTTTTCTGTCAAATATGTGCAGTTGTTATGACATTTAAAGGTTACATTCCTGCTATTTCATTCAACGTATAAAAGGCAATTCACTGGAGTTACCAGTTAATCAGAATGTTTGAAAACACTTTCAAATACATCAGTGAACACACAAGACTACTAGTTTTCATGTATATGTAGCAGGTGGAGAAACTATAACGTTAGTGTACAATATAAAAACTAAAAGCTGAGTAAAAACAATGAGACAAACTTAAAAGAGGAGTACTATTTGTGCTAGTGAAGTCTGTCACTCTACCACTGAGGGACTAAAGGAGAACTACCGGTGACAGGTGTGAGGCTTTGACTTCCAGTTACCATCTCCACTGTCCCTCTGGGAATGACTATGAGAGCTGACTGCTGGAGGATCATCAGAGAGGGTGTCCTCAGGGCTCCTCTCTCCTGAATCACTGGGCAGAGTGGGACTGCTGCGGCTGTCAGAGCCATCAGACGGAGTTCTGTGTCTCTCTACTGTTTGGCAAACCTCCAACACTGCATCTGTGTGAGTGTTGTCCGACTGAATCGGTTCATCAAGAGCTTTGCGGCGAGGTTTGGGGACCGGCTTATAAACGGGATCCGCACTGACCACTTCAGATAGCAAGAAGAACAATAGAAAATAATATTGGAGCATGTAGAATTCAATCTGGAATAGATTTAGATTCAAGTTGTGGTAAAAATGTTATTTTTTCTTCTGTTATATATGCATATAAGATGCTTTACAGTCAATATTAAGCAGTTCCACAGAAATACAGCCTGTGAATTTCAGTTTGAAAATCAAGAGGTTACTGTTGCCAACTCAATGATTTCATTCAAATTGAAGACATCTTGTCCATGTCATCTCAGGACGTGTGGTAACTGTTTAATGTGGGACTTCTTTTCAACTTGCTCTCACCATTGGTGTTCTCGGGCTTAGCCTTTTTGGATTTGATAAATCTTTTCTTGGCCATCATCTCTGCTAGGGAAGAAGGAAAAACAGAAAGGAAAAGGCATGCAGAACAAGAGATGTTAAACAGACACATGCAAATCTGGGAAAGATACACAGTTTTCTGAAGAGATGAACATGTATGTCGTGCCTTTGATATGATACATAGCAGCAATGTGAGATATGAATATGAATTATTATTTATACTGATTCTTACTACATACATACTGACTGTATTATAATATCTCACAAAGGGTAAAACTAACCAAAGACTGATTTAGAATCTAAATGAGTCTAATGTTGGTTTTATAAGAAAGTTATCAGTAATCTTAATTTGAAGATAACTTTCTTAAAAGGTCCAATGCCTGGTCACAACCACAAAAGAAATGGGTGCTAGGAGGGCAAGAATAAGCAACAATCTAACCTGCTGAAACTGAGTGCTGTTCTATATAACCCTGCAAGGATATTATCTTATGTACTTCATGTAAGACGCAGTGTGTTTGCGTTTAACTCTGCTTACTCCAAACACAAGCATGTTGGATTAGTGTGTTTCACTACTCGGTGAATATCAAAAAGGAAAGTTCAGGGAAAGGAAGTTGTTATGCAGGAAGCAGGGCAGACGGGACAATGCTATGAGGAAAAGACATAAATTAAACAGTATATAGAAACCATCATGCATATCCTGGTATAATTGGATCATGAGAAGGGACTGGAGTCAAGGAGAGATCAGTGAAAAGGGAAAAGTAGAAGCATACAGGTCAGACAGAAGAACTGGGCAGAAAGGAGAGGAGGTACAAATTTGAGTTTTGATATCATTGGAAAAATGTCTGATCAGCAAAAATAACTTCTTACAAGCCTTGCTATGTGAGGAGGTATTTAATAGGCTTGCATGTATGCTTGTTTTGTTCAACCAATATACTGTAATAAAGAAAACACAGAATCCATCAGTCAACTCATGGGCTCAGTTCTACCAATACACTCAACAAAGGCATCTGGAAAAACTAAATGTTATCGTAAGTCAATGCCTAAACACCTATCCATACATGTCTGTTACAAACAACGTATGCTGCCAGTAATTCATATCCTAAGTGAATACACCATGACAAGTCCTTAATACATCTTAATTTCTGTGTCATTATACACTGCATGTTGTACACCGTGAACACATGAGCAGTGTGGGATTATTCAACCGGGTAGATTCTCAAATTGCACAGCGCTGCTGTTCCTGCGACAGAAATGACAATTGCTGCTGTTAGCTGGGTGGCTTTGTAGCAGCTGGTTGTGTGTTGATTAGATGCTAGCTAAATCATTACAGAATGCTCTATTAACCCTATAAGATCAACGTTGGCTTCTTTACGACATCAGTATAGTGGTAAGCAACTTTACTTAAAGGTCCCATGTCATGCTTTTCTGGTTATTACCCGCCTCCTTGTGTGTTATGTAGCTTTTTATGCATGTAAACGGTCTGCAGAGTCAAAAACCATCAAAGTACACCCTGTAGCGAGTAAAACTCTAACACAGAAAAGTCTATGCTGCCCCAGAACGCCTCGTTGGACATTTTTCTTTTTCCATTTGTTTCTTCCTGAGTATAATGGACCAATCCGTGGAGCTCCTCACACACACACACTCACAGCCTTATCTTTTCTCAGCCGCGGCTCCGCTGATCTCCACTCACGTGTGTGTGCTCAGGCTGAGTTCCGCGGTGTCTCGCTGTCTCGCAGACCCCATGCAGCAACCAGGAAACGACACCAGTAATACAGCTCACACTGTCCGCTCCTCGAGCCTCAATGGGCGGAGCAGCGAGCCCTGCAATGTCCCGCCAACACGGCACCCAGACCCCACGCAGCATTCTCATCTGTTTGTCATTACTGGTGTCATTTTCTGGTTGTTAACAAACGCCGTTGTAACACATAAACACACATCAGAGCACAGTAGGCTCACAGGGAGGGGGGGGCAGGAGCTCCAACAAGCCGTTAAGGACAGAGAGTGAATACACATACTATACAGAGATGCTGTATGAGAAACCAATGTGATTTTGGAACATTGAACAATGTAAATCTATTCTAGTAGACCTCAACAATGGAATTATGATCAGTAGAAATGGCCATGACATGGGACCTTTAAAAAAACTGAAAAAAACCCACTTGTATAACTTTTATTTGTATAGTGCTGTGTTGACCAGATTAGCCTCAATCGTGGCTGGTCGCATAACTTCTGTTACTCCAAGATGGCGTTAAGTGCGAGAATTGTCCAGAGAGAATTCCACAGGCAACCTTTTGCCTGTAATGAGTGCACCATCCGAGTACTCAAAGTGAATTTCGCTATACTTTGCATTGGGACGCACTGATGCAATCAAAACAACAGAAGTATGTCAATTCAGACTCAGCAATGGTGTATCACCCACACAACATTCAGAGTAAGCTACTAAACGGGTGCAACAGGCACCTTAAAATCACTTTTTTTCATCTGAAATTGCATATAATATATCTACTAAAAAGAGGAATTTGACATCCTGCTGTATTTGGTCAAGACTACTTGCCAGCTGAATATTACAATTGTAAAATCCAGTAATTAACACTGGCACACCTGCAGCCAGTGACCCATTCTCCTTGTCCGTGCCAGGCTAACCAAGGCGAACAGTGTCCAGTGTGATGGATGTGTGATGGAGAATCCTCCCTGTATCATTACCTCTCACTGCTCCCCCCCCGCTGGGTTCCTCATCCGGCCGCCAGGACGCTTTTGGTTTCCGGGCTGATGTCTGGCTGCTGCTAGCACCCAGCTGCTTCTCAGATTCATCTGAAACAGACTGACAGGAAATAGGATTGAAGTCAGGGAAGTGCCTTCAAGATAAAACTGTGTGATTAAACAATATGTATATTAACAATACATGCAATAATACATGTACGAGATGATAAGCTAACTTAACAGTATCAGTCAGTTTTGAACTGTACAAGAGTACAAGTTTGTGTGGATTGGACCGATGGTGCTTTTCACTGGCCTGCCATGTTGTTACGGGAGTGACCATACAAGGTCCCTTAATCCAACAACAGATCGCTATCTGTTCAAGGTTGTTGGATTAAGGGACCTTGGCTCATCTATAAAGAGTACCACAGTGAGTAAAATGATTCATTACCTCTTTCAAGAACAGCTCAAACTGTTCATCCAGCTGATCCTTGGTTAGTCTGTGAGACATAGTGACACAACTGTCCTCTCCATCAGCCAATGAGAACCCAGACAGCTGACTGACATAAGGACAAAAAGAATATCATGAAAAAAAAGTAAAAGAAATGTAAAAAAAAAACTGTGATGAGCTGAAATGATGTGCAATGTACAGGTATCATATTATTTGTACTTAATAACTCAAGTTCTTTATGAGAACAGTAAAGAGAGGGAGTGGGACTAAGGTGGCTCCTATACACATAACCCGATTATCACTGAATATCAGAATGCAGCACAGTGAGGTTACACAGATTTCATACAGCTGACGCTTATAACATATTCCTGCTGAAGCACATCCAATTTGAGTCAGCTGTCACCCTGTGTTACTGTTAGAATGGCTAGGCAGATATTATGTCAATATTAAATTATGAAACTAGGTATCGCATCACATTTTGCAAATCGTAACATCACATGATTTTCTTTTACTTGTTTTAAAGGCTGCATACAGTACAGTGGGGCAATATTCTGAACTCACCAGACTGTTCTAGCTAAACTATTATTTGCCTTTACCTATTAAGTCATTACAGTATATCCCATAACTATTGATTATGTGTCAAACATTTGTGGGAGGACCAAAAGTCAACCCTACAATATGGTCAGAGTTTATAACTTGCTGGCACCTTCAGCCAGTAACACACATCCCAAGTGAGGGTCTGCCTTAAACTATGTATTAAGGTATCAGCATTAATAACATACCAGTTATGGGGGTCTTTATGAAAAGATGTTGACCGGATTTAGTTTAATTTGGCCACTTCTAAGCCAGACAACAGAGTGTTTATTGGAGTGCTCATTATTAGTGACACTGTTTATGCTCACTAAAATATCTTATTTGAATAATGGCCTAATAATAAATAAATAAAAAGAACACGCACAGATCAAAGAAAAGGGGATGTTGTTATCGAGGCGTCATGCAATAGAAAGAAAGCAGTGCAGTTTCCGGTGATAACTATCAAAATAAAACATGTTACCGACGTTATTTCATTAGTTATGCATATACATCGACATTAAAGTTCGGTAAGTCTTCTCCCCACCTCCGACCGATAATATCATAATGTTTCTTGGTGTAGCACAAATTGTACTATAGATACGTGAGCGCACCATTTTTATTTTGAAGAAAGTATTGCCTTACTTCCGGTGTTTTACAGGATGATTGGCAACGCTAGCTAAGTAGTTTATCTCCTTAGCTAGTAACGTTAGCTGGTTAGAAAAGTAAATAAACGATATGCTACTGCATAGAGAAAACGCATTACAATGTCCTCAGCGTACATGTATCAAGCTACCATCAGCAGAACTCACATGAAAGACTCGACTTTGATAGAACTCTCTTAACTGGACACTTGTTCAAACGTCCTCCTCCTTAGTTTGTTCATTTGAGTATCTGGCAGTTCCCGCAACACCCAGGTTGCATTCGAATAGTCCATTTAGCTTAGGAACCTTCCTAACGGAGTGAAATGACCCGGAAGTCCCTCAGTGGCAGCCATGATAAGTGCCGTTCGAATTCTCTAAATTAAAAGGAAAGGAGGTTTCAAACTTCCTTTATAACCTCCTTTAGCCTAGGAACCACTGGACCTCCCTAACCGAAAGGAGAGGAGAAAATGCTGCCCCACAATGCCTTGCAGCCGCAGCATTTGCCGTCACACAACAGTCGGCCGTTCACGGAAACAACCGATTATGAACGAGAAATGATATCATGAAAGTTACGGTGCTTATTAAGCATTTTAAAACGTATGTGGTAAGTTGCCAAAGTGCTTTGTTTTGAACGTTCATCAGTATTATAATCAAAAAGAGAAATATGAACGTTAGTTTTTACTGAAATGATCAAATAAAGTCAACATTTCACAGTCTTTACTGAGCTGTGTGGGGTTTGTTCAACTTTTAAAAGATGTTTGAATGGTGATATACACAGTGATAGATGTTAAGGACTAACGTTTATAATAAATACATTTGTATTGATTTTAAGATCTTTTCATACAATCATATGTATTGGGATCATTTGTATTAATGTGGACCGGAGGGAGAGGGTGACGAGCATAAGTTTCACTTTCCTTTTTTATTTCAATTTCAACTTTGGTCATGAAGAATATGTTTCTCTGTTGTCCCCGTTCATAAAGCATAAAACAACAGCATCAGAGCACGGTGCAGAGTCTCTAGATGAGTTTACAGTAGTCCCTCGTTCTTATTAAACATCCATGTTGTAGTCCGCTGTATAGAAAACTGTAGTTTCCATAGTTTCCCCACAGCAGCAGGCGCACATTTATGACCTCTGCTGGCGCATCATAAACACGTCGGATAGTGAAAGTGCAGTCGGATTCTCTAAAGTGCCGCAGTCTCTTCTCCTAAATCCTTTTGAATTCTCCTATCCACTATCCCTTAACCCCATGACGTTTCACTCCGAGGTCAAGGAATAGACGATAGGGTTAGAACTTAGGAGCTGTTTTTTTGGAGTATTCGAACGCAACCCCAGAAGAAGGCTTCTCAATTCTCTAATTTCCCCTCCTCGACTCCTATCCTCGTGTCTTAGTCCCGCCCACAGGAGAAGCGAGCAGAGGAGTCGAGGAGGGGAACCGAGGAGAGAGGAGAGCAGGCGTTTAGAGAAATGAGAATCCTCTCCTCTGAGCGGTCATTTGAAAGAGACGTCCATTAATGATGACAGGAGGCACAGCAGCACTCTGGCCGTTTCTCAATAGGCTTGTTTGAGACGAGCTGCGGCTCGCCTCGAAAGTAGACGAGAATAGCCGATTGCAGCTGGGGGATGTCTCAAAAAGCTCGCCTGAAGTCGGACAGCTCGGAGTCGGCTTCTTCTTCTTCCCTCGGTTTTTGGCGGATTGCAAACAACTTTAAGGTGTATACCGCCACCTACTGTACAAGAGTGTGTATCACCATATCATCCTATCACCACTTGTGGAATTATACCATGTATTTACATTGTTTTAAATTATTCCAATCAATCCTGTTTCACTCAAATACTTAAGAATGGCCTTCCTGGTAGCTCTTACCCCCTCACCTTCTGTTCCCAGTATCCCCATCAGGCTCCACTCCCTTCCTCTCTGACCCTGGTTGCGGTGGAATAATCAAAAAATCAGCTCCTAAATGCTAACCCTATCGTCTATTCCTTGACCTCTGAGTGAAACGTCATGGGGTTCATGGATAGTGGATAGGAGAATTCAAAAGGACTTAGGAGAAGAGACTGCGGTACTTTAGAGAATCCGACTGCACTTTCACTATCCGACGTGTTTATGATGCGCCAGCGGACGTCATAAATGTGCTGTGGGGACTACAGTTTTCTATACAGCGGACTACAACATGGATGTATAATAAGAACGAGGGACTACTGTAAACTCATCTAGAGACTCTGCACCGTGCTCTGATGCTGTTGTTTTATGCTTTATGAACGGGGACAACAGAGAAACATATTCTTCATGACCAAAGTTGGAATTGAAATAAAAAAGGAAAGTGAAACTTATGCTCGTCACCCTCTCCCTCCGGTCCACATTATTACCATAGACTGTATATAGATTAATACAAATGATCCCAATACGTATGATTGTATGAAAAGATCTTAAAATCAATACAAATGTATTTATTATAAACGTTAGTCCTTAACATCTATCACTGTGTATATCACCATTCAAACATCTTTTAAAAGTTGAACAAACCCCACACAGCTCAGTAAAGACTGTGAAATGTTGACTTTATTTGATCATTTCAGTAAAAACTAACGTTCATATTTCTCTTTTTGATTATAATACTGATGAACGTTCAAAACAAAGCACTTTGGCAACTTACCACATACGTTTTAAAAAGCTTAATAAGCACCGTAACTTTCATGATATCATTTCTCGTTCATAATCGGTTGTTTCCGTGAACGGCCGACTGTTGTGTGACGGCAAATGCCGCGGCCGCAAGGCATTGTGGGGCAGCATTTTCTCCTCTCCTTTCGGTTAGGGAGGTCCAGTGGTTCCTAAGCTAAAGGAGGTTATAAAGGAAGTTTGAAACCTCCTTTCCTTTCATTTAGAGAATTCGAACGGCACTTATCATGGCTGCCACTGAGGGACTTCCGGGTCATTTCACTCCGTTAGGAAGGTTCCTAAGCTCAATGGACTATTCGACCGCAACCCCTGTCTCTTAGTTTTTCCATCTCTGTTTTGTACATGTTGCAGTGTAATATGATGTGTTCCACATTTTCTTTCACTCCACAACCCTGCATTCTTCAACTTCGCTTTTTACCATTATAAACATTGTGCCGTTTAATCCTGTATGATCCAATCTGAGTCTAGTGATGATGATCTCCTCCCGTCTGTTCCTTTCTGTATAGATCTTTATTATGACTGATTTCTGTAACTTGTGGTATCTCCTCCCTTTCTGATCTTCCTCCCACCTTTTCTGCCATATTTCCATACCTTCTTCTTAATTATTGCTTTTCCTTCTCCTTTCCCAAGTGAAACTGGTATTGCTATTTCCTTCTGTAACACATCTTTTGCTAACTTATCAGCATGCTCATTCCCTTGAACCCCCTCATGTGCAGGCACCCAGCATAACTGCACATCGATTCCCCTTCTCTGAAGTCTCAGTAAGCAATGGTTAAGTTCAATAATGAAATCTTCTCTAACAGTTATTGTCGACTGTATGCTTTCCAAAGCAGATAGTGAGTCTGTGCATATCACCACCCTATCTGACTTCTTCAACCTATTGTAGCCCAATAATTGCTGCTAGTATTTCTGCTGTATAAACTGATAAGTTACGTGACACTCGTTTTGAGATTGATATTTTGAATTCTGGTATATACACGCCTATCCCCACGCATTCTTGCTTCTTAGATCCATCTGTATACATTTTGAGGTAATTGTAATATTTTTCGTTCAGGTACATACTCGTTTTAATTCCCACTTCATTTATTTGCCACTCGTTTTTCCTTTCTATGATACTCATATCTATGTTAGCTTCTAGGAAAAGCCATGGGGGAACACGGCTAAATGGGCTTGCTTTGGCAAACTTTATGGTCTCCACTCCATATGCCCTCGTTCTCTCCTTACTTGTCCAGCCAAACCCACGCCCCTGGAACTTTGTATATTCCCAGCAATCCTGTAGTATTCTGTTTGTGATATTTTCCTCTCCACTTCCTTGTAGCCTGACCCAGTAGGCATATGACAGAGCAAGTTTCTCTCTTCTAAAGAATGCACAAATGTGTTTAATCGTTAATGTCAGATATGTACTAAGTAAATACATTTGTTCCTGCTCAAGATTAGATTCAACTTTATTGTTATTGCACAGATTACAGGTACTGAGACAACGAAATGCAGTTTAGCTTCTAACCAGAGGCAGGGGCGGACTGGGACTAAAATTCAGCCCTGGAAACTGACCCAGTCCGGCCACATGAAATGTCAAATGTTAGAAATCCGCTGTTTATTATTTAAAGTTTTACGTCCGATTCGCTCCTTTTTTCCTCTCTGTACACAGCTCCAGGTTGGGCATTGGCCTGTCATCAGATTTCATTTTTAGTTGCTGCTGTAGTAGCGGAAGTTTAGTAAAATTATTTATTATGAAATAATCCAAATCTCCACCCTCCATAATTGCACTTGCTTCAGTTGCTTGCTACTTTTTAAGGGCGGTGATGACAGTTACAGTACAAACTAAAGTTGGTGTGATTTGATTGGATTGTGAGGCATGACGTGAGCCTCATCTGATTGGTCAATCCCTCAATTTCTTTTCACCAAGGGAAGCCAATTTTGGCTAGCCTCCTCTCGCAACAGAGTGCAATCTACTGTTTCACCATAACATCTAGAGGGGCGCTGTTTCACTCTTTGTAAAATACTCAATGAGAATGGGGGAGAGATGGGCCGGCAGAATATTTACCGAAACTAAACGAAGTGTTTTTATTTATTTATTAACATTATAACTACAATCCAAAAAAACAGGGGAAGCCTGGCTTCCCTTGGCCTCCAGGAGAAAACGCCACTGAGTTCAAGGGATAATTCTCACCCACCTCTTGCCCTGCACTTGTATACAGGGGCGGACTGGGACTAAAATTCAGCCCTGGAAACTGACCCAGTCCGGCCACATGAAATGTCAAATGTTAGAAATCCGCTGTTTATTATTTAAAGTTTTACGTCCGATTCGCTCCTTTTTTCCTCTCTGTACACAGCTCCAGGTTGGGCATTGGCCTGTCATCAGATTTCATTTTTAGTTGCTGCTGTAGTAGCGGAAGTTTAGTAAAATTATTTATTATGAAATAATCCAAATCTCCACCTTCCATAATTGCACTTGCTTCAGTTGCTTGCTACTTTTTAAGGGCGGTGATGACAGTTACAGTACAAACTAAAGTTGGTGTGATTTGATTGGATTGTGAGGCATGACGTGAGCCTCATCTGATTGGTCAATCCCTCAATTTCTTTTCACCAAGGGAAGCCAATTTCGGCTAGCCTCCTCTCGCAACAGAGTGCAATCTACTGTTTCACC